GAATGAAACAGCTGCCTGTTTGGTCTTCGGCTTTGCAGAGCATATGTCGGCGTCGATTTTGCTAGCCAACTCTGCTCGCTCATGATGCACGAGACTTTCCTGCAAGAAATCAAAAGCAATCGGATGCAGAGCCAAAATAATCTTGCCACTGCTTTTCGAAAGCACATAGCTGCGGAAGTTCGGCTTGGTTCGAGCTTCTTCGATAGTGGTTTTGAGAGACCATGTCTGGACGGTCTGGGACTGGTTGTCCATAGTTGCAGAAAGGGCGCGGATGCGTTGAGATTTGTTGAAGGATGGTGAAAGAACAGACCGAGGCTGAACAGTGGTGGCCGAAGGTCTCCTGAGTAGAGGCAATTTGGGACTCGATGGTCAGTGGAGTTGGCTCTCATAACAATCAGGTGAGGTTTATGGCTGTTCGTAGTGCAGAATTATAGACTGTACCACCCCCTGCCATATCAGGTTCTTGTTGAAGCGCAAACACGGATTTCCCGCTCCACGATTCAGCGATCGTTGGTGATTCACACAGCTCTAAGGCCATGGACTTGTTCCCCGCTTTCACAGCAATGGAAACAATAGCGTTGAACTATCAACGACCTTGTCAGCAGTCACCCTCAGGTGATGTGGACAATACCCTCGTAGCATTATTGTTGTTTCTGTTGCGACTCGTCCAAGATCAATACGGTGGGCCCAAAGTCCTGCTCCTCGAGCGTATCACTATTGATTCCTCTCCTGATGTTGTCGTTCTGGGCTTCTTCTTCCGTTGCAAAGCGGTAGCAACGCGTCTCCGCTAGTCCAAAGCGCTTGCCCTTCACAAGGAAAGCTTTGATGCCTCGATGCGTGATGACAGCGATGTTGCTATACGTCGCGGAAAGTTCTTGCAGTCTTCGTCGCACGCTCTCAGCACGCTCAGTAGCGCCTTCAATGCTATGCTCTAAATAATCCCACTCTTCATTGCACTCAGAGAAGTCGAATTGCGGGAACTTTGACGCTAGCTCCTTTCGCGACAACCCCTTGTTGCAGACGGCGTCGTTGGCTTCTCGGAGATCTGGCCAGATTTGCACAGGGATGCGAAAGGGGCCTGCCTCCGTCAAGAATGGAAACATGTTTATCGCAGTTTCTATGGTGCGGGTCATGGGCGAGATGAGAATCAGATTTGGCTGGACTGTGAGGTTGACGCGTTTGGTGGAGACGTTGCCGGCTTTTGTCAACGGCGGATCTCGGTGTGGATAGCCGCGCTGGACGTTGTGCAGTGCTTCGCCATGGCGTATGATATGTACGCGCGCTGTCATGATGTTCCTACACGCAAGTGGATGACGCGGGTGTTAAAACGTAGAATAACTGAAGACCGCGGCCCAGGGTTATCGATAAGAAGGCCTGAAGCTTAGCATCGCTTGAACCTTCGAAGCTCCGCTCCTGCGCGCTCGTCTTCCACGTCATTGCACATATTGCCGTCAACTTCCTTTCTGAACGCACTCCGGAGCTACTGGTTGGACACTGGATTCGCTACTTCTCTATCACATGCCCGAGGTGTGCAGCTGCAGCTAGGCCCCCGTCGACGGCGCAGGAACTCGTTCAGGAGATGGCGGCGCCCACCGTTATCGATGCCAAGGCCACCGAACGATCTCCGCTATCGGATGTTGCATTGATCTGCATCTGATAAGATGAGATTGATAAAATTCTCCACCACCTACTGCGCCGGAGCCAATCGCGAACACCGCACGTACGACGTCAACCTCTTTATTAGGCAGAATGCTCGTACTGCGACAAGGTATAAGAAAATTCTGCGAGTGTCTATGGGCCATGGCATTTGTGCAGTGCCCTGATGCTGATGGGTACGCGATGTGTTTTCGGGGCGTGCAGCGTGGCCTATAAGAAGCAAATCGAGGACTTTAGTACCCTCAACATCTAAACTTCTGTGGTATTTGTTCTTTACCCATCACACCATGCGGTTCTCTGGCGTCATTCTCGCCTCGCTGGCGTCCATTCTTGTCCATGCGCAGAATAATACCAATACAACCTCATCCTGGCCATGGCAAACCTTCAAATCTCGCCCTGGTTTCGAGCCCCCAGTACTTTCGGTCAACAAGACTGGTGACACCGCACCGGGAGTTATTACCTTTCCTCAGAGTGGACGTGGGGCCCACAACTACAGTCTGAACATCTTCCAAGAAGATGGCGATTTGGTTTGGCAGTCTGGCTACGGCGACTACGCCGCCTTCAGAGTTTCGGAGCTCTTCGGCGAACCCGTACTGGCCTATTTCAGCGGCATCTCTCTCACTGAACCTTGGGGCTTCGGGTATGGAGTAATCTACATCCTCAACCAGCAATACGAGAGCATCTACAATGTCACTCTCTGGAACGAAACATACCCACTCGAGAGCATCTATCCGCTGTACGATCCTACCCAGTACCAACCTTTCAGCTGGGTTGATATGCACGAGAACCTTATCACGCCTGAAGGTACGATGTTCATCGCCGCTGTAAATGTCACCCCATGGGATCTATCATCCATCGGCGGCCCGAAGGATGGGTGGGTTGTGGATTCCATTGCGCTCGAACTCAACGTTACGAACAGCGAGATTCTTTGGCAGTGGAGCCATCTTGACCATGTGGACCAAATCTCGCTCGAAAGCGCTGTGCCAACATATCCGCTTGGTGAGCTCGGCAAGAACAGCAGTTATCCGTGGGGCCCGTTCCACATCAACTCCATCGAAAGATTCGAGGATGGAAGTTACTTGCTCTCTTCAAGGCATTACTGCTCCATCTACAAGATTTTCCAAAACGGCACCGTGGCATGGACTTTGAACGTAAGTTTTCATCACCTTTCTCATCCTTCGGATCGTAAGCACTAGTGGTGAGCGCCATGCTAACGAAGCCCCAGGGACATTCCGGCGGCGACTTCACCCTTGAGAATGGCCTATCCTTCTGCTACCAACATGACGCACGTATTCATCCGTCTCGCTCGCCCAACACCACCACCATCTCTCTCTTCAACAACGACAACAGCGCCGTCGTACCTAAAGTCAACGAAACCACCGGAATTTTCCTCTCCATAGATGAGCGCACGATGACTGCGACATTATTACAAGAACTCGCTGATCCAGACGATGTCATCTACTCGGTCAGCCAAGGCAACATGGAAGTCCTCCCCTCCAACCACTCTATCATGGGATACGGCAGCGTCCCGACTCTGAAGGAGTTTGACCAAGATGGCAATGTTGTGTTGACTGTGAAGTGGGGTGAACCAGAGAAGGTGCAGAGCTATCGCGCCTACAAGGCCGAGTGGGTTGGTAAGCCGAGCACCAAGCCTGATGTGTACGCCTGCAAGGCGAGCAACGGCACAGAGGTCTACATGAGCTGGAATGGTGCCACGGAAGTTGACACATGGACTGTGTTCGGTGGCGCATTCAACGGAACCCTTAGCAAGGTCGCCAGCGTTGAGAAGTCTGGTTACGAGACCAAAGCAGTCGTGGGCCACAAGCTTGGGTTCGTGAGGGTAGAGGCAAGTGGCGAGGAGATTGAGACTGGGGTCTCGCGTGTCGCTGCGGTATCGGAGACGTGCTAGACTGTTTGGAGGTTGGAAACGCGAAGTGCACGTTGGTAGGATAATGATCTATGTATTGCGCATCCGTACGCAGTAATTGACGGTTCATACTACTCTCGACCTACCATGGGTAACCTCCAGTATTGTGAATAAACTTTCCACATTCTTCATCTCTCTTTCCTTCGACAAGCTCCATAATGCTCTTCACAGTGTCCTCCGCACTCCTTGCACCAAACTCCAGTTTGTTATATGGGCCAAGGTTGGAAGCCGTGAAGCCAGGGTCGTAGCAGAAGACCTTCATCTTGACATTGTCTGCCTCTTTCGCAGCATCAGCATCGCCCTCCCCAGCCTTCTCAAAGTCCACCTGCGGAATCCCCAGCCCATACTCCACATACATACACGAGCTGATCATGTTGAAGGCGACCTTGCTGGCGCGGTATGGCACGGCTTGGATCTTGTACATCGGGCTCTCAGTGGAAAGGCGACGACCGATCGATCCAGCCCCTGACGAGATGTTGATGATACGCGGGTTCGCGCTCTTCTTCAGCGACGGAACGAGCGCATTAGTAAGAAGCCATGGGCCTGTTGCGTTCACGTCGAAAGCCGTTGCCAAGCGTTGGCGCTCCGTCAAGCCTTCGGGCAGCGCGACTGCAGCATTGTTGAAGAGAATGTCGAGTTTGCCGTACTTCTTCTCGATGAGCATTGCGGTTTGTGTGATGTGGTCATCGTTCTGCAAATCAAGATGCACGAGCTCGATGCTGCCAGGAAGCTTGCGCGCTTGCAGGTCTTCGAGGGCGACCGACCCTTTCCCAGTCGATCGTGAGGCAAGGAGGACGTGATATTGGCCCCGCTTGAGGAGCTGGTGAGCGATCTCAAATCCGATGCCGCTGTTCGCCCCAGTGACAAGAGCAATTTCCTTGGCGAGGGACTGCATTGTGAGTAATGTGGGGATTTGAAGAGATCAAGGTAAAAAGAGAAAGGTCGCAGTGACTTTAAGATGGCTCATTATGGGCTCAAAGCTACAGTAATATACGTTTCCTACCTTCGTGAGAGTTGGGCTGCCGCCGGACTTACGAGTTCAAATTCCGCAATGATGCGCTGCAGTCGGCCTAGCGGTCGTGCCGCAGTCGTGTGTGTAAACTGTGTCTATACGTTAGGTCGGTCATTTTACGGTTAGTCGACGTTCTCGGGCGGATGAGAGTAGGCCAGGCCGGATTATCTGGACGCCTAAAGGCTTCAAGCCAGCGTTGGAGGCGCGGAGTACAGGTTTTGCACTTTCAATCACCGGCGCTAGCATCGAAATGGACTAGAGGAATTGCACAAGTACAACCCGTGCGCTGTGAGCGTCATCAAGAGCTGGCACGCTGTGAAGCATTTTGGAAGAGTCAGAATCGCTGAATTCGTTTTGCCAGGTATTGAATGCCATGCAAATATCTAAGATCCTTCGAATGTATCGCTACCTGACCTGCACTGCAATCCCATCATCACCCCGGATTTGCGGAGACAACGAATCGGCTCGCATTTCTGTCACGGCAGCATCCGGGGACTTCAACCAATCCTGCTGTACCAAACATCTCCCGCGCTCGGTCATCTGAAGATGTGGCAACTCCTCTCGTAAGGCGGCGATGCCACCCTTGACGCTACTTGCTGAGATGGCTTTGGCGCGGAGCACACTCGTTGCAACGCGGGCCGTATCACCACCGTAGCAAACAATATATACATCTTTGCCAGCAAGGTCATGCGCGCTGATGCGCTCGGTCGTGAATGTTGATTCCAACTCTTTCCATTGCTTCTCGAGAACCGCGGCATCTGAGAACGGGCTTGGTGTTGATGCATTCAGGCTTTGTAGCGGTAGGTTATACGATCCTGGGATATGACTGGTGACGAAGTCCTCTGGCTTCCTCAGATCAAGCAGGACAGCCCCGTTGTTTTTGTCGACGGAATCGGCAAATTGCGATAGCGCTCGTGTAGGTGTGAGTTCCCATGCTTCGTCGTAGCGGTATAGATCGACTGCGGTGAGATTCTGCAGTCATGTTAGCTATGTTTGATGAAGCGCGGCAGCTTGAAGGCCAGCCGCGAAGATACCAAGGGAAAAAGCGCCTCTTACCTCGTTGTGTATAGGTCGAAAAGCGGAATCTCCAAGCTTGTCGAAATATTCGTCGATGTACTGATATGGGCCATCGCAGGCCACGAATGCGCAGTCGATGATGCCATTGGCATCGGCGAGGTCGGATAATGTGCCGTCGTTCTTTCGCTTTCCAAGATAGTTGAACAGCCCTAACGACGTCAGCGGCTATACTTGCACTGTCAGATGGTCCCACTTACCCTGCAAATTGAACCCTGAGGATGGACCGCAGATCAAACCCGCGCGGCAGAGCGCCAGGGATAGACTGAAAGCATCCTTGGAGCCCACCTCCTCAATGGCATCCACGGAGTCGCGCCATGGGAACTCGACAGGGCTCAAAAGAGCGAGAGATCTAGGTCCTGGAACTCGATCGCCAGCGGCGGTGCACACGCTGGGCACTTGGTCAGGCTACGTCTCCATAAACTGCGAACATGTATCGACTCACCCTAACCGAACCACAGACGGCTTCGCCGACTTAAAATATTGGCCAAGCCCTGTCATCGTTCCAGACGTACCCATGCCCGCGCACATGAGACGAATGTTGGGTAATTGTTGATGGATTTGAGGTCCGGTCCATTTGACGTGCGATTGCCAGTTCTTGAGAAGTCAGCTTGTGCCGTGTCGACTAAAAGCGATGGGGTAGCTTACTGCGTCGTTTTCGTATTGGTTGACGTTGAGGATTGCTTCGTCCTTTTCGGCCATAATTCTAGCTCGATGAATGCCGCCGCGTTCATCATGTGGTTCTGGTTGAGAAGGACCACCAAAGAGTGTACTGTCAGGGAGTTAGATGACTTCGAGACACAAATGATCACCGCTCGTACATGTCCAGCCCGAAGAATTGCATGAGCCTGAGTTTTGGTGCCGAAGTCTTGTTACTCAAGAAGGCGCGAACATCTTGTATTCCGTGATTGATACGAGAGACCAATGCCAGAGATATTACGGTAGATCCTGAACTGTACTCGACTACTGTCTTGGACTTCTCCGGGTGGACCTCTTTGGTCAACATGTTCAACGCTGGCGTTGCATTAGTGATGTGAGATGCTGAATACGCTCTTCTGCTTCGCACATACCTGGCATGATCTTGACATTGTTCGAGGGATGCATAGACATCATCTTCGCATGTATCCTAACACCATCGTTGTAGTACGGGTTCAGGCTTGGCGGAATCTCAACGAGAGGAATCATGGGTGTGCGGTCGGGGTCAAAGTAGTTCTGGAGAGCATCTGGCCCAGAATAGGCGTTCAAATAATTCCGTGAGACCATGATGAAGTAGAAAAGAGCTGTTCGAGACGGAAAGCATGAATCCCGAGCGCTGGAGCGGACTGCTCTTTAACTGAGCGCTTTCGCGGTGACACATCGGAGGCTGCCTGTCAAAGTCGATATTGAACCAAATGATCTACAGTACCGGGACATTTTTGCGTGGGCATCATGCAAGATGCAACGATGAAGGTGCTCATCGGTGTCACTCCATGGGTGTTAGTGCTGGGGCGAAGATCAATACCGAAGTGGGACTCGTACGGTAGGATTCCCGCTGCGGCCAAGGGAACGTCCCGCATCGGCCAAGACGTGTAACTATAATTTTACGGGCGAGAGCGCAACACAAAAGAGTCGTGAGAGGGCTCATTGGACGGGATGGTGATGGTCGTTGATGGCTTCGAGGCACATTGAGGCACATTGAGCACATTGATGGCGGCGAGTCAGGACGAGACGCGCTTGTACTAGTGTGCTTTGGTACTAGCGTTGACGCGAAATGGGCCATGCCGCGGGTGTTCTGGAGTTCTGAATGTCACAAACCTCGCCATGTGTCGGCCTGACACGACGACAGGGTATGAGAGCACATTTGACGTGCAGACATCGCAATTCTTCACCGAAACCCACCCCTGCGTGGAGCACATGCGCAAAGTCGCCCTCATTGTACTCAACAGCGTTCCGGTGAGCGCGCCACGAACTGGACATGCTGCGACACCAAGGTATGCCCTCGCTCTTGCATCGGCATTGGCTATTGCAGATTGCCGGTAGCTGCCAGTCATAGTACCTAGGCATCAGACCTTTTGGCAGCCAGCAGGACCCAAGAAGCTAGTGTACGAGCGTAGACCGTTACACATCTAGTTTGCATCGCGTACTTTGCAAGGATGTATTCGGCTTCTCGCGTCTTACGTTTTCGGAAGTATACACAAAGTGGAAGATCAACCGATCGGCGTGGATGGACCAGGTTGAGTACTACATGTCAGATTGCGGTCCCAGACCGCGTTGGCATCTGCACCAACGTTGTCTCCACCGCTTCGAGTCGTGATCATATCTGTCAAGCTCAGCCCATGTTGAGTCGTGCTATTCTTTTATCAAGCCACCCCAAGACACCACAGACTTCGTGAATACGAAAAATCGAACGTCTCTGAACCATGGCGACAGAAGATCAGCCCCGGGCTGCCATGAGGACACCGGAAAAATCTCCCGCGGAAGCGTCCTCTGTTCAGGCGTCAAAACAGCCTCCAGAATTCAACGAACAAACCAGTACGGTATGCGCAGATGACATCACGAATTTTGCTGACTCCATAACCCAAAGACTATGTACCAGTCAAGACAATCATTACGGTGGGTACATACATACCCAGCTATGCTCCCTCTCGGTACTTACGTATCAGCAGATTTTCCTTGCTTGCGCGAGCGTCGACTTGTTGGCCTTGATGGATCAAACAACACTTGCAGCTAGCTTGACCATTGTCAGCAAGGATCTCAACGCCAGTAATGAAAGCGCGTGGATTGCAGGCGCATACTTCCTGACGTCCACGTCATTTCAACTCCTCTACGGACGGCTTTCTGACATTTGGTCCCGCAAGGTGCTCTTAGTTATCGGCATTGGCATCTTCTTTTTCGGCTCGCTGGCAGCGACCCTGGCACGATCCGCTCTTCAGCTGATCGTCTTCCGTGCATTCATGGGCGTCGGAGGTGGCGGCCTCATGACGGTCGCGCAGATGATAGTGTCAGACATTGTGCCTCTTCGCGAAAGAGGAAAGTATCAGGGTATCCTCGTAAGTGACATTGTCATGCGTTCTGTGGTATACTGCTAACGTCATGTTAGGGCTCTGTTGTAGCTCTGGCGAATGGCATTGGGCCAGTGATAGGTGGTGCACTCGCTTCCCAAAGCCACGATTCTTGGTATGCACATCGTACTGACATCCAATCAACACAAGACTAAGCCGGTTGCAGGAGGTGGATCTTCCGACTGAACTTGTTTCTATGCGTTCTTACCACTGGCGCCGTCGTGTTCTTCATGCCACTCAGAAAGGTTGACGGTAGTTGGAAACGGTCCGTACTGGCTACCTTCGCTCATGGCAAACACTGACCAGATCAGGAAAATAGCAGCGATAGACTTTTTCGGGGCGTTTCTAGCTCTCGCTGGGTCTGCGATGCTTGTGGTATGTTGCGCAATGCTATCACCCATCCACTCTAGCCGAGGCTAACCATCCTAGCTCGCCTTGACCTGGGCTGGGGGAGAGTACGCTTGGGGATCAGCGCATGTCATTGCAACTCTGGTAGTCGGCATTGCAGTCTCAGCCTTCTTCATCGTATGGCAGTGGAGAGGGACCAGCGTGCCACTGATACCGAGTATGTTCTACCAAGGCAGCATGCAAAGCTTCGTGCTAACTCATACCAGTGACCATTTTCACATCCAAAGTCGTGAACGGTGCCGCGCTAACCATGTTCGTGAACGGCTGGAATTTTCTTGTTCAGGTCTACTACATTCCTTCATTCTACCAATTGGTCTATGGCTACTCAGCTGTGAAGTCCGGAGCACTACTACTCCCCATCACGCTCACGCAAAGTAAGACACCGTCTTCCATTCCTATCAGCCCATGTCTAACTTCGTTGTAGCACTCTTTAGTACCCTGTCAGGCCTTGTTGTTCACTGGACCGGTCGCTACAGAGAATGTCTTCTTGTGGGCTGGGCGATATGGGCGATTGGCCTGGGCCTGATATCGACACTCGACAGCCCTTCTCTCGGGAAGCAGATAGGCTATGGTCTGCTCGCTGGTCTTGGGCTTGGTAACACACTGCAACCCTCACTCATCGCCGTTCAAGCGGGGGTGGAGCGCAAACATATGGCCGTCGTCACTTCGACCCGCAACTTTGTACGCAATCTTGGCGGCACCCTTGGTCTGGCGATCTCAGGCACTGTGATCAACAATGCGGTTCGATCATCGCTAGTCCCATACGGACTTTCGAGCCCGGAAATCCAGCTGTTGCTTAACTCGCCAGACATGTTCCGGGGGTCAGTCGGCCAAGAGCGTACCGATCTCGTTAGGGCTGCACTTGCGTCCGCGTATCAGCAAGGCTTTCGGATTGTTTTCATCGTCGGCGCAGTACTTAATGCGCTTGCATTCATCGCTGCTTGGTTCTTGATGCCTCAGGTGGAACTGAGCAGAAAGGACGATGCCCAACTGAAAGAAGAAGGCAAGAAGAGAGATGAGGAAAAGCGCGGCACAACTTCCCCTGCATGAAAGTTTTGATCAGAAAGATCAGAAGGAACGGCAAGACGAATGCTACAACACAATGAGCCAATTTTCGGACATTTGAGATCCAACGACGATTGCAACTACCGACGACGCAGGATGGATGCCGGGTAAATGATAGATTACCATCGATAGAGTCGTGATTACTATACACCCTGGCAAACCAGCCCCACATCGAAGAAGTACACTAATGCCCCGCGCATTTACTATAAGTGTTTGTCTCATTGTCAAACATAGATAGTGACCGGGTAACGAAGCTTAATTGCACATTAATTCTATAATGTTGTTCAAAACCATAGTACTATATCAGTCGACCACCTCTCCAAACATGAGCAGCATCATGATATCTCAGTCAGACTATCGATTACTGCAAGCATGATCACCACTACTCTCGTAGCTCTCGCGCTGGCCGCAACCGGCCTCTCACAAGCACCAGAAGGCTACCGTACGGTGTACATGACATCGGCACAAGATACCAAATTCGTCGTTGTACCAAAGTCACGAGCAGCAGGAGCAACACTCGTGGTGTAAGACATGTTTCTCTTTTTTCCTCTCATACCAATGCATTCTGCTAATGTATGTCTCAGGCAAACCCTCACGTCTACTCCAGCGCAATCATGGTACATCAAGTCGCCCAACAATGCTACCTCCATCCAGCTCGCATCCACAACACTCTGCATGGATGCTGGGCCAAAGTCTGGCTGGAAAGATATGGCCAACATCTACCTCCGCGAATGCGTTGCCGGAAGTGAACAGCAGACCTGGAACGCCATGGCTGATGGACGCATTGCTCTCGCTGCTAGCAGTGGAACGCAGCAATGTGTCGATCTACAGTATCTAAGAGCTGTGCAGAATAACCCGGTCGGGCTGTATAACTGTGCAGGGCTGGGGAACACCGGGGCGGCTGACAAGGGGATCAATTGGCCTTTGAGAAATGCTACAGTTGTGTAGGCGAAACGAAGGGTGGTTCGTACAGCATCTGAAGTAGCCTAGACGGTCGAGGATCTACTTGACTCAATCATCAATGGCATGTTCTGCATTAGATATGATTGTTTTGCTGATTTAATGTGCATGCACGGTCTGTCTTCTTGATTGATCAATGCATCCCCTCGTGATTTGGGCATTTCCAGGGATTTAACCCTCTCCAGTCATTGAACGGGCTGTTGGGTCTGGGGGCGCTCCATGAAGCAGGCAGCCATATGCAACATTGAGTGAAGCTGACGCCGGCTCGGTCGTCAACGTCGAGGAACTGTATGTGCAACTAACCAGGAGATGGGGAAAATGCCGTTAATGCGTCATAGTGTCGGAGGGTCGTGAGAACGGACGGAGGGTTGGGTTGCAGATCAGCCAAGGCGACCTCGGGCTGCGCACGAGCCCTCTGTTCCACCTCAGCTTCCGGATGTGCAGTCCGTCCAAACTTACGTCTGGACTACCCTCCATGTGTTTGCATAAGGGATGCCGAGAAAGCCAAATTGCTCTAAAATCTCACCAGATAAGCGTTCCGTCGAAACGATCGCGATACCCTCACCGTCTCCACTCATTGAGGCTGCCACGCTGTTACGTCACAACTCAGCCGCCATCATTAACACCCACAGAACGCATGCGACGACTTCTTATGTGGATTCAGAGTTTCGTAAGCTATCGAGAGTCTTCTGAGCCAAATGCTTACACATCAGCGCCCATAGTACGACACCGTAGACAGATGCTTGAACTGCAAAATCGCGCGCCCATCCTCCAACGCCAAACCGCGGAACCTATCCATGACCATCTGCTTCATTCGCTCCGCCTTTTCGCCCTGCAAATGGTAGCCAAATCGGTTCCCTGTGCTATCGTTGCACCAATTCCATAGCGCGTCCACGCTCTCGAGCGTACGCGTGCCAAAACCGCGCGACATCTTCACATCGCCAAACCCAGCAGCGCTCAGATCGCGCTGCATCTCCGGGAAGCTCGAAGGCCATATAAAATTGTCTGTAGGCTCGCCGAGATCCTCTAAGACGTCATCGCGGATGTCCTGTATAGGTAGACGGAATGCGCCGTCCTGAGTCGCGATACCAATAGCAGTGCCGGGCTTGGCTAGAGTGGCGGCTTGAGCGAGGAAGAGAGGTTTGTCGCTGAACCAATGGTATGACATGTTGCAGTGTATGGCATCGAACTTCTGTCCTGCGAACATGGAGAGATCATGCACGTCGGCGACATGGAGCTCTACGTAGGGCTTGAGCTCCGGATACTCCTCCAAGGCCTCACGCGCCCGCTTGATGCTGTACTTGTCTAGGTCGAACCCCACGACTTTCCCAGTCGGGCCTACAATTTGCGCAATGTCGAGAACGTCGCTTCCGGGACCGCAGGCCGCCACGAGGACGTGTTGGCCTTTGGAGATGTTCATCATCTCTGTCAGGGCATGGCCGTAGCCGCGCTGCATCGTATTCGTACGGCTGTAGCGATCTGCTGTTGTTTCGGTGGCTGTGCCCCATTTCGTGGGTTCTTCGGCTTGCGTAGCGAGGACGGACATGATGTACTGAATACTAAGCAGTTCTAAACAGATGGAAGAGGTGATCTTTTGAAATGAGTACGAGATGGTGACCTTGAAATCGCTGAGTACTTTCAAGTTATATGCATAGGATATGCTGCGATAAGCACTTGCGGGAGAGCACCCCATTGACACTTCGTACGAGCCGGCAGATCCCATCACCCTCCGCTGTATGGTGTATACTGAGCGGGGAAGCTCCGAAGATCCGCCGTTTCCTGGAGCTCCGGTCTGACAGCAACGTCATACAGTCGTGGCTGCTTCAAGTGCTCTCTTGTAAAAGACCGCAATGAGGCCCGTACAGTCATCTACGCTAAGCATCCGGACATGGGGAGGGCTATACACAAGAAGCGGCCTCGGTGTCTCTTTCGCCACCATTCTCGCAATACATACGTGTCAAAGACCTTTCGATCGCCACGGTTTCAGAGAGACTGTAATGACTGAGGCATTGACTTCGGCATTTAAGATTGGGCAGCCCAAGACGTATCGGAGAAAGGGTTCTGTGGGGGCTCCCGGGCCGACTGCGTTAACATGTGCTCTTAACAGATAGAGTTCACACTAGTGTGGGACGCCTATATGTCTTATCCAACTTTCTTCTCGATGTTCGAAACGCGCTGGCATGCGGAGTTTATACTAGTTCGGCGCCTTGAGTTTATTACCATACCAACGTCAGTTCCCGTTGAGGCATTTCTCAAATATCTTGTTGAGTGATGGGAGCAAAGCAGTGGATGCATGATGGTATTGACGCCCATGGGTACCAAACGGACTGTCCTGAGAACAGCCCCTAAACCTAGCTAAGGACATCTACGTTCACTCTGACAAACAGACTCCAGGCCCATGCGCCAGTGTAGTGTCACCATGAATATCTATAAGCTATGAGACGCCAAACCGCCGAGATCATCTTCGCCACCCACGCCGAGATCAATCGCTATCTTCGCCGAGATATTGATCACGGCCTGTTAATCAATGACATTGTCGCCCAGTAAATAAGGTTGTGCACTACCTTCACAAATCTTTTCACCCCTCCGACATTCCTACCTTCTTACCCTGATGGAGGGCGCATCTGGTCGCTGGGCCAAACAAAGACATCAGGTTCATCAACGAATACATCGGATCCATGACCGTCACTGTATGGAGCTGATGAAAAGTCGAGAAGAAGAGAACTCATAGGTCTTGGTACAATTCTTCGATGTTGCGGACCCGAACGTGACATGGAGGATAAAATTTACGTCTACCGTGTCTTGTATATCTCAACTTCATCGGCATGGATGATACATCGGGGGAAAGAAGCATGCCCATCCATGTGCTGCAGAAGTTACTCTAATAATGCCGCCTAGGCATTCACTCACACCAAGAAACACAACGCTGAGGTTACCAGCAGCATGTACTCACAAGGCTCCATCTCAATTGTCCACATCGTATCAAACACCACAAACGGTGTTTACAGACACACCACTCACCTCGAAGTCTAAGTACAAATCATCCCATCGTACCCAATACTGACATCATTAATCCTCACTACGCAAACAATCTCAAAACAACAACCAGCATGTCACTCATCACCATCATCAAAACTCTAGTAGATTCCGTGTCCTACAACTGGAACTGCCACCAATGCGGTAGTAATAACGTGGCGAAGGAGCACCCAGCTCGATGCGCCTCGTGCTCGCATTTCCATTGCTGGAAGTGTGAAAACATTATCAACTAAACTGCGTATGATGTCCAGCTAATTCACTTCATTTGCTGTCACGAACGTATACCTCATGGCCCCCTGGGCAGTCTTTCCATATGCTAGCTGCGAATACAATTAAGATTTTACATGCGCTCAAACAACCTTGTCTGGAAGACACGTGAATGCCAATACTTGCACGTGAAGCACAGAGCGACAGCTCTTAGCATTAGTCTCGCACAATGCGCGCACACTTTGAAGAGCAATGCTGGATATAAAGCTGTGTACTCAATCAAAGCGATACAATGTTCTTGACATGTTGAAGTCCAACGTACTCGATTCTATAAAAGAGAAGTTCTCACTACCCTTAGAGCCTTCTCTATGTATACCACTATACTTGATCTACCTTCGTTACTGACTAACTGCACGTTTGCCTGTCACATTAGTTTGACTCTCAAGCCATCATCTCTTTCTTACTTACCCACGAAAACCCGCTTGCGCTTTTGCTTCGACAGCAATACCCTCCACTATGCTCATTTGGAATACTCCACTTATCGGGCTAATTGCCGGTTTAAGCTGTATCTCAGCAGCTCCTATGGAAAACTTGGCTAGCAAAAGCAATTCGCTAGCACATGACACCCGAGATGTAAGTTCTTAATCTTAGTCCATGCCACTACGAACAACTTTTACTAATACCAAGGTTCAATAGGCACATCCTGAATTCTCCCTCCAGCTTCTATACAGCGTCTGGGATGAGGATAAATACCTTTACGTCGCCTATCGAGGGAAGCAAGGGATAGCATGGGGCCCGTGTTTTGGCGATGAAAAGAACAATTCCTTTGAGCTAATCCATTATACAGAATTAGGCAAAGACTCCCGTCCCAACGCCATTGATCATCCTCCGTTTCCCAGCAAAGAAGTAAGTAGAAACCGTCCTTTAACTCTTTAGAATATGCTGACTCGGATGTTTTCTACAGGTCACATTCCCTATCGAAGTACCCGGAAAAAAGGACTGCCGTCACGAGGGCAATGGCAAAGACGCTGGCCAGATTCGATGCGGAGATGAGGCTGTCGTGAAGTGTGGGAAAGACGCCCAGTACGATGAGCCTACGATCAGGTGTTCATGGGGGACAAAGTACCATCGCGGATATGTCTGCGAGTTCTGAGTACCCGTAGACTTGAGTTTGGATGCACCAGAATGGATAGTTGGGGAACAAGAGAGACGTAGAGTGAACTAGAGTCGTATGACGGATTCACTGGATGGGTGTTGCTTGTCGTGTTCGTATGATGGCGGATGTTACTGTAGACAACACACAAGTTCTCAACATGCTTGGATAATTGTGAGCATTAATTGTGTTTGCTGCTATGGTGATTGCTTCTCGTAACGAGTAACCGATGTTTCGTGGTCATGTACGCCTGGGAATGTGGAGCGAACAATGTAAAGAGGAAAACGCCGTTGGCTACACGTTGCCAAGCGCGAGACCGGAACACGAACGAAGGGGAACTGTGGCTCAGTATGGGACGTGACGAGTAGCAGACGAAAATGGATGGAACGGGCCGTAAACAGGATCACGTTTGCAGTGAGGATGTGCTTGCGATAGTCAAATCACGCCGGAAAGAGTGAAGTAGTCCGGGCAGCTGTAACACCATTACTTCTGACATGTCGTGCAATCTTTGCGTCACCACGGCGACATGCATATCGTACAACATGGTAAAGCAACAATAATTTCCAAGCTTGCCGTGATGCCTACGCGATATGGTCAACAGGTCCTCTTACAGCGTGTTGCAGCATATAGGAAGGCGGGTAGTAATATGTCCACGACTGGCTATCACCCAACACAGCAATCTCGCGGAAGCTGAGATGATTTTCTACCCTTTCCTGCTTCTCTGGGCCAGTCGCTCCTTCGCAATGCCCACCAGCACCACCGAAATGTCGCATTTGATAGACGACACAAACCAATACATGATCCTGGACCAGCTTGACATACCATTGCGATCGCCATTCGTGCCAGGCCTCGTTCCTAGCAGCGGGGAACGGGCTCGGAAAAGAGATATCGGTAACTACACAAGGGTCAAAACCGAAGCGCCTTCCAACCGAAGCGCTTCAGACAACGCCTCGCAAGTCCAGCGACCAGCGGCCAAAGACCAGCTCACAGCTCTCGCCGAAATCATTCTGTTCCCAAGGACTTGCGAAATTGATCAGCAGTACCAAGTTCTCGCGATGGCTGAAATGTTCGTAAACGTCGGTGTCGTCAAAGCTGATCTGGAAGGAAACATTCGCCGAAGCTCGTTCTTGTGGGGCGAAGATGTTCCGGGCAAAGAGTATATGACCACATGGATGTATGTGGATATACTTGACGATGGGCCATTGGTGACGCCCGATCTGATAGAGAACATGTTCTATCTGATGATATACGATGAATCTTGCTATGCGACACGAGGCGAGACAAGAGGCGGCAGACTGCGGGCGGTGCATGCGCGTACGGGTAACGAGCTTGCCAATGTGGTCATAAATGCGGTGGACTCTAGAGACGCGTAGTATTGGGCGGTGGATCGCGTGGAACGGGAAGGCAATGCATATGGATAATCCTTTGGAGCACCATGGGGTTTTAGACTCTTTCATCCTCTGTCACCTTCAAGTCTTTCAGATGCTTATCCGGGTCCGCATCCACAACATACTCGTCCAATTGGACCAAGCCCAGTAGAGCCTCGTCGTCAACGACATCTGCCATTGCTGGTCTCTTTTCTGTTTGTTGGCTACGAGCGGCCTTGAGTTTCAAGATTGTCTCTTCATTGTATTTCTTGAAAGCCTTGGGGTTCTTCTTCTCCCTATGCGGATCATGCGACTCGCTCTTGTACTGATATCCTCTAACTCGCGGCCCTTGGCCAGACTTCTCGGGAAGCGTAGGTTCGTAATAGGCCTCGAAAGCGGCCATGTCAGCGTCGAAGGTACCCGCTTTGATGGAGGCGCGAATGCCGGCGAAGAAGGCCGAGAGAATGGCGTGGTTGTGTAGCTGAATGAGTACCCAGCCAAGCATTTCCTTGGCAGCGAGCAAGTGCTGGAGGAAGGCGCGATGATGCTTTGTGCACGCGTAGCATGTGCAGCCTTCGGATAGCGGGGTAACGGACAAAGCATGCTCACCGCCCCACATGTCGATGCCCAGAGAGCGGCGCGCGCTTGTGTTGCCGTCTCCGACGGGCGCTGGGAAGGTGAAGTCGAGGACGATACCCGCGTCGGTCGCGTCGGCGAGGAAGGGCACGGTGAAGACGTCCACGCCCATGCGCACATGGCGGAGAAGTTCCTGTGGACTGGCAGGGACGTGGAAGGAGAGTCGTGGGAGGTGATGGAGCTGGTCGGGTAGGTTGTCGAGTAGATAGGCGTCGTAGATGGCAAGGCCGCTGATCTTGTCCACGATATCGTCTAGCAGGTGATCCAAATACCACGATTGTAGGTCGCGCTCGATGGGCAGAATGGGCGCAAAGATGGTCCACGCTTTCTCGCCCTCGTCGATAGTGCCCTGCTTGGCTACTATGTCGCGCAGCCATGTTTCGGTTCTGTCACTCATCTTGTCTTTCCGCTTGAGACTGATGGCTTCCTGCCCGACTGGTATATCACCCAATCCCACAACGATGTCTGGTTGCAGCTTCCGTGCCGCGGCGGCATAGTACTCGGAGCTGAGGGTCGTGAAGCCGACCGACGTCAGCAGGCGTATCTCGGTGTCTGTATTTCCATGAGGGCTGGCTATGGGCGGATTGCGACGCGCGCCCAGGACGAGGAGCGTGTCTTCGGGGAGGGCGATGAACTTGCGCAACGGCTCAGGCACGTCATACTTGAAGACTGGCGGAGTTTTGTGCGGGCGCTTCTCGACGACTGCATGCTGTTAACGGTGCTTGGTGGCACATATGGGGAACGTTACGTACAGTCCTCGAGCGCGACGTAGACCCCGCCAACATCGGCGCTCCGTCGGAAGTTGTCCTGCGATACATGGGGTATGACGCCTCTGGATGTGTTGCCAATAAAGGCGGGTGTAAGGATACTCTTGCGTCCCGGGAACGACAGGCGGCCGAGTCGCGGCGCAAGCGAGCCTGACGTCTTGAGGAGCGTGAAATCCAGCATTTCAGCCGGCAGTTGACCAAGTTTCCTCGTCGAGACCCCGTCAGACATGGTACCACTGAAGATCTGACTGTTCAATGTCTAAAGCTTTCTCTCGGCCCATACATCAAGCGACAGCTATCGTTTACAACTCCGAACGTCGTTGCCTATGGTGGGGCGTCCATGTTCCTGCCGACTCATCGTCGAAAATGTGGATACGTGCACGTGCAAGCGTGTCAAACCGCGTCAGGCGTCCGACTACTTCTGATTTCTACATCTGTCCTCAATGTTCTTGTAAAATGATGGCGGAATTCTCTTATTATCGCATCATACGTGGTGATGAATCGCTGAAGCCGCCTCCAACAGCGATTGCCCATGTCTTCACCAAGGGCCAAGCACGACCACGATGAGCCACCTCGCCGGGCTCTACGCGACTCTACCACGAGAAAACGATATCAGGACCCATTAGTCGTCTTAGTTGTAGTTCTCATCGCTTTCCTGGGCTTCTACCGCATCTACAGTCCTTCCGCTACCATAAGCTCACCATCACCTCACGACAATGACGTCGACATTCAGGTCGTCGAGACTTACAATGAAGACCAGCTTCAGGAAGTTGCTGCCTTGATGGACGAAATCTACACCATGCTAGCAAATGCCACTTTCATTCCGCATGACTCTATCAAGCGTGGCCCACACCAAATCAATTCTACAGCCAGTCCCTGCAGGCGCGATCCAGCCGACCTGCGCTTAATGGAGATCCTCCCATATGTCGACGCCCCACTACTCGACAATGATCATTGGTTATGGGGTGGCACTTTTTTCGATTTCCGGGTAGATAAATTCTTGGGCTACGGCTGTGATCCTGACGAAGCAGACAAAGACCCTTCGTTCCTCATGCGGCCAGGAACGGTCCACTTAACCAATGGCGGCTGGGATGGCTGGGATCTCTACAGAAGTTGGCAACTCCAATATGACACTAGGAAGAATGCGATTAGGGTCTATGAAGGAGAGGAGAGGAGTGATTACCAGCCACAAGTCAATGGGTGCTTGTTGACATTCCGACATCCATACAAGAGCGAGCAGTACAGATTTGGTCGCAGATGGGAAGACACCCCTGTCTTTGGAGCGATCAACTCAACGGGAGGTCTCTCGGTGAACAGGCACAGCCGTGAATGGACGAGATGGACCGATGCGCCAACCTTCTTGAGGAGGATCAGAGACGCATATCGGAGCACAGCATGGACACCATGGGTGGCTGCAAACCCCGCTGATCGGTCCGCTGATCAGCGCGTCCTTCCGCCGTCCCACAACATCACATCATGGCTTCTGATCAAGAACGGTTGGCCCGAAAAGCTTGACATCGATCAGTTTCGGGCTGACTTCATCCGGGCGCAGCACAAGCCGTCAGGACGAGGCTGGGCCGAAGGTGCTTTCCAACGCATCAGAACTTATCAGGATGATCCAGATGATCCAGCCAACATCTACTATACCAAGAGAATTCTACAACGATATCAGGATCGGGAGCTTTCCGGAGAGATCGAATATTCCACTGGAGAATTAAACAGGATGATGAAGGAGGCGGAAAGAGCAAGGAATAAAATCGATCAACACGACAAAGATTACGAAGAAGCGAAACGGCAAATACAGCGGTTGTGTCCAGACGGCATCTGTGTCGAGGAGGAGGATCTCATTCTTTGGGAATTCAGAGGACTAGAACAGACATATGCAGAGGCACAGCTCAAACCCGACACTAAGACACTGTGCGAACGTCGCCCCTGGAGGCTAGACGAAAGGTTTTATGACAGACAACTGTCGCCAGATCAGCATGCAAGCTGTGTCACCCGACTCAACTTGGAGAGACACTGGTTAGAGTTGGCATACCAACAATCCCGCGCCGATGCCCTCGCTCATTGCGCTCAAAGTAACAAGGATCTCCTCCCCCCTGTCTCGTTCGAGACCCTCGCGAATGTCCACATTGCCGACTATGAAAGCAAATATTACGGGTGGAAGATTGAGGAGATAAAAAAGGCTTTGTCTGGTGACATTGGCGATGGGGGCCTTCTAGAGCCTTGGAACCGATTGGAGATTCTGGAGGAGCCTCATTCGACGTCTGATGACAGACTGTACTACTGAAGGTATATGATCCGGGTATCAGCATGAAGAGTGGTGGTCGATGTCACATTGGTCAATGGTGGCGCTTATTCTCACTATTGTCTCAATTCATATTCCATTCATCTTCACTTCACTTCCTTTCACTTCACTTCACCTCAATGATCAAATCACAACAAATCAAACACCGCCAACTCCTTCCTCAATGTTCTGGCAAGCCAGAAGCACTAATGAAAAAGCAAAGGAACACAACAAGTGAATGTTGTGAAGGGCCGCCCCGCCTCGCGGCCCTCGATGACTCGCAACCATGCGTCAATGAGTCTCTCTTCCAAGCCGAGCCCGGAAAAAGCCAGTCGAGAAGGCGATGCTGTAGGTTAGCCAGCTGCTGTGAGTTAGTTGGGTATAGCCCGGCGGGCGTGTGGATTGTAGGAGGGAGGCAGGAAACGCTGTTTATATAGTCGGCTGCTGGCCTGCCAAGAGCGGCCGGATGAACCTGTGGGCCCGGTTTCACATGGACTGTGCTCACGCCGGTACCCGTGGTTCTGCCGGCGGTATAGGGACGTGCGCAACGAGGTAAAGGCGATGTGAAGGGGACTTGCGACAGTCTGGAGTGGTGTAGTGACGTCAGACCTTTTGCAGCGGTCGAGACTCAATAGGCGCATGGGCTGTCTCAGCGATGGAGTATGAGAGTCTCTGCCGGTTAGTGAATATTGCGCTACACTATGAGACCAGTGGATGAATGTCTAAGTCACGTGCGGGATTCATGTCCGCCAACTTTCTCGATGTTTGTCCTGCGAATCTCGTCAAACGGCATATGATGATGAGATGTCTCTTATAAACGAGAGTTCAGTGTTTTGAGAGGATGGTAGGCGACAGCATAGATCTTTAGACTTGACGGTCGTCACATCGCTTGTCCTGGGTTGCCCCGCAATTGACACGCGATCCCACACGACCCCCACGCCAATACGCGATCACGACTGCAGACCTCGGGAGTCGAAAAAAACCAGACGCGACCAGTCGTCACTTCATCATGACAAGCCGCTTAGATATCGTCACCAAAGACGCGAAAGCGCTCGTACCAGGTCGCAAGACATTCTTTGATCTCTCCGGCGAACTGCGAAACCAGATCTACGACCTTGCGCTCGGCAAGGAATACCAGCGCGTGCCCTTGAACCCCTGCTATCTCAACAAGCCCGACCCGTACATCGCTCTACTACAGACATGTTCTCAGATATACAAGGAAGCGCGGAGCTACCTTGTCGAAAAGCAGGTCGCTTACGTTCCAGTAATGGCCGGTATGCAGTACGACTACGGGACCGAGCTGAGTGAAGACTACGGCCTGAGCAAAGAGACGACAGACACCATTGCAGCATCACTGACCGACTTCATGGAAGTGCATTTCCATTTGCACATCGACATTCTGCGTGTCTCAACAGACCGCCACGGCGCCGACTTCCGTCTTGATGATGCAAATGGAAAAAAATGGAACATAGCCCCCTTGCTCGACACCCTTCACCAAGCCATCAAGAACTATACACCGCACTCCTGGAACCTATACCTCGAACATGAGCTGGGAAAGCGACGTGCGACGGTCCACCTCGATCACCTACTCTCACTCTGGCCCAGGATCTCGCCAGAACACCCTTGCGTCCCTATCGCTGCGATGCGAGACCTCGTCGATCTCATGGCGAAAGACACCATGACTGAATGGCAGATACGGTATTACATCCCGACTGGCCAGGCCGGTGTATCGGTCGGCTACGGATGCACGATCGACGACGATATGGCCCACGCGATTCGCGACACGGAACTAGCACAACTACGCAGTTACGCGAAAACATGTGCACACGACAACATCACCATCATCGCAGAGCTGTATGGCGAAAACACCGCGTGGGAGTATGGGGACAAGTCCGACAGCGTAACTAGGCTGCGTACACCCGCTACGGAGTTCTGGCCAACCTTGCATTTCGACCCTTGGAAGTACTCCATGCCGCATCACCAGCATTGGAACAGGTCTTATCCCGGTAAGTGAAACACTTGATCACCTCCTACTGCCGGATTGTTTCATGCCAGGAGGATGCATTGATATGGAAGTATATGTTTTCAACGTTCGATGACGTTATGGCTACAACACGAATTCTGCCACTAGGCAGTCCCCTCAAGTCATCCTTACTAACGACACATGCGTAGAAGAAATGCCCATCGAGAACTTTGAAGAAGCCGCCTTGTTAGCCACTCACGAAGATCGCCCGCGCCGAGCAGACTGGATGGAGATGCTGCAGCGGAGGGACGACCAGGCTGAGCTGAGGCGGCGGTACGAGGAACATAGGTCTTGGGGTGTCGGGGCGTCAAGCTGAGAGAGAGCGGTAGCAGGCATCCAACGCCTTTAGAGACGAGATAAATGCAGAACAGACATGTACTGCCACGTTGACCTGGAGAGAGCCTGAACACCCTAGAGCCTACATTGACGTTAGGCCACCCACTTTGTATGTTTCTTTATCGCAATGTAATCTGCAGACCTGTTTGGTTTTGTTCTCGTATGAGGTGCGGCGGATCTTGCATCAATCGCTGGATGATGATAACGTTGTCTCTAATTTCATAGCCCGCTGTACAACTACCTCTAATATCCCAACTTCGCCACCCTTTCCTTGCCCAAGATATCAGCCAGACTAACCAACTTGAAGCTCGCTTCTTTCGCCGTGCCTCCACCAGCTAACTCATTAGCATCGTCATGCGTGACGAAAAGCCCACTTGGAAAGTCCTTGTTCAGCGCGTTGCCCACAGCAGTACACCCATCCGTGTTACTAACGTGGTCGATACCCTTTGCCTTGTTGTCAACGATAGTGAATGTCTCCACGTACTTGTGCGGGGGCGCGCGCTCGAAGATCAGATATGCGGAGATGCCCTGCGACGAGACGATGATGTAGCCGCCCGGACCTGACTTGGCTGGTACAAGCGTGATGCCCTCGACGTCGGCGTGGAGGCCGCTGGCGTCGCCTACTTGCGCGATCTGAACACCGTTGTTCGAGCCGGTGGGTTCGGCTTCGTAGCGCCAGATGCCGAGTGGTTCTTCACCGATGAAGAGGTAGCCGGCGCCTTCGTCCGCGACGCAACCTTCGACTTGTCCGCCTGAGCCACCTTGGAATTCGCGGACTAGGGTAGTCTGCAGGGTGCCGTTCGCGGTAGCGCTGAGTTCGTACTGTAGGTATTGTGCATCCTTGTTATTGACGAAGAGGTACTCTTTTCCGGTGGTCGGAGAGCGGTAGTTGCAAGAGCCGTAGGGTTCGTAGTCTTCCGGTAGGGATTGCTTACCACCAGAGATGGTGCTGAGGTAGCCTGTGCTGTTTACCTCGACCAGGCTTGGCGATGCATTAGCAGATGTTTTAAGAAGTCATGCGATGGTACTCACCACATGGTGTTGTCACCGCGGCATGCCGCAAATGCGAGATCAACCTTCCGGGAACCGAGAGTGAAGTTGTAGATGACATCGACGTTGTTTGGCTCCTCAGCCGTCAGGTGCTGAAGAAGATTTCCCTGTAGATCGAAGACACCAAAGCCTTCACCCTCTTCAGACTTTGTTGTGGTAATGATCTTGCTCTGATCTGGTCGAGTGGGGTGGATCCAAATCGCAGGGTCATCGCCGTCTCCACCGTTTGCATCAGTCTCGAACTTTGCGGTGACCGCGACGAACGAGCAGTCTGGGCCAGTCCACCCATCTTTGCACTTGCAGACATTTGGGCCGGTACACTTCCCATGTCCGGAACAATCGTTTTCGCAGGTGATCTTGGAGCAGTCGCGACCAGTAAAGCCGGCAAAGCAGGAACAGTCCTTGCCTGACACGAAGCCGTTGTTGGAGCACTTCTTGGTGACGGAGCTTTCGCAGTGCTTGCAAGCCTTGTTCCTGGGACTGTACTGTGTGTTTGCCTTGATACCCATGGATTTGAGCGCGCCGTCCAGAGAACCTACAGCTACCCCGGTATCATCCTCGCCCTCAAAAGCGAAGGCGAATGCGCCAAATGGGTATCCAGCAACTGAAGATTGAAGGATGGCGAGCGAACCCTCAATGGAGAGCTCAGAGATACCGCCCAATGAGATGCTTCCCTTCTGCTTGATGTCGGAGTCGTACACATCGATGACCTCGTCGTGGGCTACGAACAGATAGTCGGCGGATGCGCTGTGGTAAGTAGCAAGTCCCGCAACTTCGATGTCCTCAGTAACAGTCTCGATATCGGGTGCTTGGACAGACTCCGACGCCTGGAAAAAGTACAATGGTCGATCTTCGGCCGAAAAGAAGATCCCGCCATTCGCGAACACGGCGCAAGTTTCGCCTTCGATAGCAACGGGGAAAGTTTGAACCTGTGATCTTTGTCAGTATTACTGTCTATGGTCACGATCAAGAGACAAGAGTACCTCCAGGATCTCAACCCGGCCTTTGTTGCCCCGAATCAAGAACTGCACAACCATCTTTTTTCCGAAGAGGAAGATGTAACTCTCACCACTCTTCCCACTACGCCATACGCACGCAGTACTCCAATCACCCAGCTGTTTCTTGTCATTACTTTCGATCGTGTCCCCACTCTGAGCGTCGAAGACCCTGATCAAAGAGTCTGGAGCTGGAATGTTGACGATTAGATCCCTGCCGTCGATGTCGTGAACAGCAACAGCAATCTTCGAGCGACCAGTCTTCTGATGCGTCTTCTCTGCAAAGCTTGAGGAATTCGAGACAGAGAATGTCCGGAAGCCACCGTCGGCAGCACTTCCATCATTGATGACCAGTAAAGGCGATTTGCCGTAGACGAAGTTGGTATTGTCGCCCTCGGATCCAGTAGCGGCTGCGACGAGTGTGACGTTCGCGTTCTGGGCTGCGACGAACGGTGTGATCACACTCGCCCATACGAGGCATCGCGTGAACGCTTTCATCTTGTGGCGGGCGTTGTCTAGATCAGTAAAGGCGGCCTGACTCTATGAGCATGGCCGTCGAGGCCGTCTTATATCCCAACATGTCTCCAAGTAATGGGCTG